CAGCCTGGATTGACTACACTCAATGCCACACACATGGATCTGTGAATGCCTGGCACTATACAAAGTCAACAGGACACTAAGGACCTTCCTCAAGAACTCAATGGGACTGTGGACAACAACAGTGGAAGTCAACTCAAGACAGCTCGTACAAGTGGCCATCAAGTGTGGCATATACCAAGGTGATGCGCTGTCACCACTGCTGTTCTGCATAGGCTTAAACCCCCTCAGCCAGATAATCACAACGTCTGGATATGGGTACAAGTTCACGAGTGGAATCACCATCAGCCACCTCCTCTACATGGATGACATCAAGCTGTATGCTAAGAGTGAACAAGACATCGACTCACTGATCCATCTGACACGGATCTACAGCGAGGACATGGGGATGTCATTCGGACTGGAGAAGTGTGGCAGGATGATAGTAAAGAGAGGGAAGGTAGCTAAGACCGATGGAGTGGAACTACCAGTGGCCCACATAGCAGACATAGAGATCAGCTATAAATACCTTGGTGTCCCACAGTCCAATGGGAACCATGATGAGGAGGCAAGGAAGACAGCAACATCCAAGTACCACCAAAGGATAAGACAGGTCCTAAAGAGCCAGCTCAATAGGAAGAATAAGATCCATGCCATCAACATGTACGCCCTGCCAGTCACCAGATACCCTGCCGGTATAGTGAGCTGGCCAAAGGAAGACACAGAGGCTGCCGATGTGAAGACCGGAAGCTCCTCACAATGTACGGAGGTTTCCACCCCAAGTCCAACACTCAGAGATTGTACACCAGCCACAAAGAGGGCAGGCGGGGCCTGATGAGTGTCAAAGCCACTGTCCTGGACGAAACCTGGAGCATCCAGGAGTACATCACTAAGATGGCACCCAGATGAGCTGTTGCGAGAATGCCTGAGGCAGACATGGGAGGAAGTTCAAGTGGAGAAAATACCATGGCAAGACAAGCCTCTGCATGGGATGTACCATCGACAGATAGCTGAGGTGGCTGACATTGGGAAATCCTATCAGTGGCTAGAAAGAGATGGATTAAAAGACAGCACTGAAGCACTGATCATAGCAGCACAAGAACAGGCACTAGGCACCAGATCCATAGAAGCGGGGGTCTACCACACTAGACAGGACCCAAGATGCAGATTATGCAAAGAGGCCTCAGAGACAGTCCAACACATAGTGGCAGGGTGTAAGATGCAGGCAGGAACAGCATATACTGAATGGCACAACCAGGTAACTGGCATTGTGTACAGGAACATCTGCACAGCGTATGGGCTAGATCCCCCCCCAAGTCCAGATGGGAGATTCCACAGAAGGTCGTGGAGAATAACAGGGCTAAGATCCTGTGGGACTTCCAGATCCAGACGGATAGGCAG